TTCTTCATGGTCACATAATCTATCAGAAACTGAAGTTTTTGGTATACAGATAACATCAACTTTTTTCACTTATGCTTTCTGAACATGCATACTATACATACATGTAGTAAAAGTTTACTGTTCTGTAAGGTGGGTTTTAATGGATAGCAAGCAGCATCACACAGTGTCACTTCTAAAGCTCATCTTCCTTTTTAAAGCTTAGTTCAGTAAACCAAACAGTGTTCCTGTACATGTTCCCTTATCTAGTGTAGCTAATTTGTTTTAAAAACCTCGAAATAAGAGCTCAGATTTGTGAACAAGCTTGAAAACCAGTGCTCAATAGCTAATTTTCTATACTGTTTCAACACACTTTAGAAAAATTTGTCAGTGGAAAATGTGTAAGAAAACATATCACATATCTCAAGTCAAGCTCTGCTCCTTGGTCAGAGTTAGGCTCTTGAATCTCTATGCTCAATATGAGAGACTGGTGCGATGTCGTAACCATGTTTTTCCAAAATTAACCAACCTGTATTATGTGTTCTTTCAAGATTAAGATCAGTGAATGCATGTCCCATTGAATACTAGAAGGACAGCAAACAACATATGTATGGTGATGGATATTTGCATATCAAAACAATATCTTATTATCATTGATTACATATTTTATGTGCAAGTTACACATACCTGAACAAAGGAAAATGGACAAATTATTCTTTATGAAATCTTCTTCTCTTAAAACATTATTTGTTTTGCATGGATTTGTACACACACGCACGTATATAACACTTCTAAGAACTGGCTCTGATCACATCATTGCTTCATTCATTTTCAAATAAGAAAAATGTTTTACAATTTTGCTATTAAAACTAAAAATATTCACTGTACAGTGCTGCTAATCAGTGTCTATCTTCTGATAAACTGGAACAATGGTCGAGCTATTCTTGTATCAATCGGCTTTATATGAAAGTCAATACTGCAGGTAACATATTTACAAGCACTGACTGATTTCTCCAATGACCTCTAGACGCCAATGCCTGAGATAGTAATTAACTAGGAAAAGGCTTTTAAGCTTCCAATACACAGGACTAAAGGTGCACAAATCACACACTAGAATAGCACTAGTCTGGCCTAGTCTAGTCTATAATGGAAGGATAATTAAAGATATAAGATACTTTTGATAGCCAATCTCTCCTTCCACTTTTTTCACATATAGCAAGACTTAATATTTAAAGACCGTTTTTATATAAACAATTTGAGATATTGACCATAGTATCCCCTTTGAGATAAAATGATCAAACTATCAGTGAACTGCTGACATGGAACTTAAATGAAGATCCCACAGGGGCACTATATTCAAATAAGCTATTTTTGAAATTAACTTTTATAACTGCATGAAATCTAGCTAATGCTATTCATGAAATCTAGCTATAATGCTATTCTAATACCATCACAAGTTGGTCCAGTTTCTTTACATTGCATTTCAGATAATAAAAGACTCCTGCATAGGTCTATATACTAGTAAAGATGTCTATGGGATTTTTTTTTCACCTGATAACCCCAATTAGTCCACAGCTGGTTCAGTGTATTGAAGACCAGTACCAAATGCACATTAGGTCTGCTGCTTTATATTATACTGTCCGAGTCATATTATATCTAGTGTCAGTTCATATTAAGTGATCATCCAAAAACAGAACAGATTAACTGCATTAATTAGTTCCCACATCAATCAAATGAGACAACAATGGAGAAGCTTTGATATTATTCATTACAAATTCCTCTTGGGAGTTCCGATTAACAAAGAATATTTGACACATGGCTGGATAAGTACAGCTATCTGGCTGAATAAGAAGGTACATTATCTACATAGGGATATTTCCGTATAAGCTCACTAGTAAGTGCATATTTTAAGTCAGGCAGTCATGACAAGTGCAAAATAAAAAATTAACATAAAAAGGATATTTTATGCATTTACCAACTGATATATAAGTATGCATCTTTTAAACACTTGGCTTTTGTTTATTAGCATACTAACATATCCAGGATTCTGCTATGCATACAAAACACACACACACACCTCCTTTCCAACTTTATCAAGAAACGACTGAATAAAATTTATCACCACATTAAAAAATATTCTGATGGGTAGAAAAACCAAGATGTGCACTCTGTTCCCTTGGAAGTCCATGTCAAAATGTACTTATCAAAGCAATAAAAACAAGATAAGTCATATATGAGCTGTATTTTAGGCACAGATAAGAGCTATACTGACAGTGACATAATACATCTTTCATTATGATGCAATAAATGTCATGTTGTCGAAATAATCTGCTATACCAAACAAACCATAATTTCAGGTTCAAACTTGAGGTTTCCTCCCAAACAGTTTGACAGAACGAGTCCAAAAATCTACCCATTGTCTACCTATAGTTAATATACTACTACTACAGTATGCTAAACTCTTACCTTGCTTAGCTTGCCTCACAGCAGTAAACAATATCCCAAAATACACTGAGCTCATAATTAAGCCGCCATAGAGACATAATAAATAAGGATCTTTTTGCTTAAATTATAACACCAGAAAAAAATCTATAGCTTAGAATACATGTACATGATGTAGCTCCGTCTGAGGTCATTGTAGGATGAGTGGTTTGAAATGAATGAAAGCGAATCAAAATCTTATTCGGCGTCAAGTAATCCCCTTATTAACTTACCGGTACATCTCACAAGCCTCTATGATCTAAAATACATCTCAAGTCTTCTGACTAACTCCAGCAGGAATCACATGTCTCACATATTTCATGTGTTACAGGCAACCTGCGAACCGCTAGCCTGCATTGAAGGCTTGGCGGTATTTGTTAACTGTGCACTACGACCTAGATCCTCATTGGCAGAGCAGTTAACGAGGTCAACACATGGGGAAATTAACTCAAACAAAGCCAGTCGGTCCAACAGAAAATAGTTTCACAGTAGTTATAATTAACGCGTTTGAGTTTGACACTTACCGGAGAAAAAGAGCACAGATATAGCTTGCGTTAATCTGTGTGTCTACAGGTAACTCTTAAACCCACCTGTGTAAGATGAAGTAATGAGCGACCCTATTAACGGTTCCTTTTCTTGTTAGAATGTTTATTGATTAAACGAAGATATCGAGGCATTCTACACACTGAATGTTATTGTATCGTTCAGCCGTGGATCAATATAAAAGGTGCACCCAATCCTTTGTCGCAAGTATTTGCTTTATGTGTTTATTCATATTGTACACAGCTACCCTTTGATATACACCCCTGATAATCTGGATAATCTATTTAAAGGCAATATTTTCATCAAGAGTAAGCAGGCCGGGGTAAAATTATGCATAAAAGGTAAATATGGAAATTTTCAAAGGGTAGAAGAGATTTAGAGATAGCCTTCATCCCTAAAATTTATTTTAGACAAATGAAAATATTCTAAAAACGTAAAACAGATAAATCCACACACTTTAGCGGTCATGATCAAAAATTGATCTTTTTGTTAGCTACTGCTTTAAAGTTGCATGAAAACACATTCCTTATAAAATTCCATCGTCCTTACATGTATATATTGAATAATATACTAACGTATCTGAAGAATGCCTGTTTGAAAAACTGTCCTACCTGTAATTGTGTTAGAGAAGACTGGTGCAATGCCAATGTACAGGTTTGCTGCTCCTTGTAAGAGCTCTGTGGCAGGTTTCTTGTAATCCCCCCCCCCCCCCCAACACACACAGAATGTTGACATATACATGCATGCATTCAAAAGAAAAAGTATTTTAAAAATGTTCAAATTAAAACAAGAAAAAGTTAAAAAACACATTGCATTATTTTTAAGTTTTCACGTTTCTTAGAGTAGAACTGGCATTTTCCAAGTAAAAATTAATTAATAGACAGATGTTTCTGCTTTCAGCACAACAACAGTCACTAATAGCAATCTAAATATACTGGCACTAATGAAAAGTATATGACAAGCTCTGAGGAACCTAGGTTATATAACAGTGCTTCAGAAAATCTATAATCAGGTTACAATTGCATTTTTCTATATTGCACAAGTTTAATACATGTCATAAGAGTGGTTATTAACTGTGACCAGTAGAAATGATTTACATACACCATATTGCTTAAATATTCATTTTTTTATCACTTAAACAATTGACCTCACAAAAATTCATTCACTAAAAAATAATTTTCTTATGTCAAAAGTGACACAAAATGTATTGTGTTAAGAAATAGTACTTATAACCACCAATTGGAAGAGAAAACAATTCTTCGTTAAATTTGGACAAAGTTAAAAGAGGAATGTAGTACCCATTATTTAGAAAAATGGTCTTTAATTTTTAAAAGGCCTGCAATTTCATCATATCTAAATTTGTTACAGATGTCAGTTTTAAGTCAGTAAAGTCCCAATTTGTATGAAATGAAGTACGTATACACACAGTTACTCCTCACAAAGAAATATTTATTAACCATTCTTATCTTTTATGTGTGCATCTGTTTTTGTGGCAAATTATATATGTACAATAAAAATTATGGAGCATTTACATTAAATCAATGAGGGCTTTTTTTCACAAAATTGCTTAGTTGTTATTAATTGCACTAAAGGTAATGCCAGTTTCATTCCAATAGATTTTTTTTTTTTTTTTTGACATAATAACTTCGTCTTACATGCTTTTTTTATCGTACTGAAATTGCTTAATTGTGTTAATTCTCCTAAATTTAATTACCAATAAAAATTAAATTTCTGTTTGTTTTTACACAATATTTGTAACTTTGGTAAGCATCAGTTGCATGACTAACCCAAAAAGGATAGTGGAAGTGTTGACTAATATATATGTACTCTCTTTATATATTTTTGGGATTGGCCAATTCTCTGGTATTAATATAAATGGTGAATGTAGATATTAAAAATGCTGTTTCACCAATTAGCAACCTCAAAATTACACACACACACACACACACACACACACACACACACAAACACACCAGTAGTAGTGGCAATCTGAGGGTTACCTTAACATTTTCCTTCCACTCCTCATTTACATTGTAGTCTTCTTCTAATGCATTGAGTAGAGAGTCTGCAGTCTGTATATTTTCTTCTACATCTTTTTGTACTTCAATAATTTGTTGATTTAACTGTTCCTCTTCATTTTCAAAGTGGACCTCACTGTTGTCCATCCTTGTCTTTGGTTTGATATACTGTTTAGTAATCAGTGAAACATCTATAAAAATGAAAGAAAAATCACACTACTAGAAAAGCTTTAATGCACAAAATAACTATTAATTGTATTAAAACTTTTTAGTTTTATTAGGTCTTTTGTATTGCAGTAATTAATAGGTCTCATTTGTTCTTGGCTTTATTTAGTACATAAACTTATGATAACTTAGGACAACAACATCAGTTACTGATAAAATATTCATATCTTCAATTCATACATGTATATACTCACAACCTTACAGTTACTAGTACTTTATAGCTTTCAACGAGCCATGTCCACAACTGCCCAGCCTGTACTGCTTGGGACAGATCAATATTGCAATTTACCAGTGTCCATCCATCAGCATTTGGCTCTGGTCAGTACCTGATGCCCCTGTTATAATTACATACTCTTTAGATATGAAATTTTACCCGACCAGTATATATTACAGTACAATATAATAGTAAGTCACCCAACTCCAACTTTCCCTATCTTCAGGGAGTAATTTACATATGCATCAGTGCATCTATGTGGCCAGTGGGCAGTTTAGGGTCCAGTGCAATAACTATACCTGCCCTGGAAGGGAGATGGGCCGACTTGCAATAGTTTTTATGTTCTATGGCACAATAAAGAAATGTTTGACAATGTTCTAGGATTCATTTATCTGATTTGTAGAACGTTTAGTACATTTATATATATATATATATATATATATATATATATATATATATAATATTGAATGAATTTTGTTTCTTATGCTCTTTCCTTGCCCTCCCCTTAAAGTTGTGCACACTTCCTCAAGCATTCCTGTGGTGTAGGTAATATCCCAGGTTATATCCCAGATTACTTTCCTCAGGCTACACAGTATAGGGACATTAAATGAAACTATAGTAGTTATATAAGTGTATTTGGTTTAAAGTCCATAAATAAATGTAACATAGTCTTCAAGTTTAACATATTGACAGAATATGTTATTTAAAACAGCTGTAAAGTACTTTTAAAGCTCTTACAGGGGAAGTAATTTTATGCACCATATACAGGTGAATTGGGAATGTGATACACCCGATAAGCAATGTCATTTGTAAATTTTGTTATTTCCAACATGGACAAAATTACATAAGTTTGCTATGGCTTTTTAAATCTTGAAATTAAAATGCATCAAGCACAAAACTGACTTCACAGTAACTGCTCATAGTTAATGAACTTTAATACGAGTCCAATGTAATTTGGTGCATAGGGAAACTTTTACAAAATGATGAAAAGAAAAAATTAGTGGCACACACAGATGTAGATTTTTAATTACCTGATATCCAGCTAACTTTACAACTGTAGGTCAGAGTTTCTGTCACATGAAGTTCACAAATGACCACTGCAGTGTGTCACAGAGAACAACAACTGTGACAGGTAAATATTGGAGTGAAAAGAATTACTGTGCTGCTTTCTCCATTGATTTTCTCTCATTCTTCTGTGTCAATTGCCCCTGCTTTGCTCAGTCAATTGATTTCTGGACTTGAATTGTAATCTTATAGTTCTCAGTCTTCGGGGCGTGTGCAGGACTTTTACACTGTGGTATATTAGGAAAATTTAGCTGTTGACATAATCCACACTTTTGAGTGAGACACTATTGGATAGCATCAGCTAGTGGAGGTTTGGTGCTCTCCGAAGAAAGGTTACAGGGTATTTTGAAATTAAAAGTGCCCCGTTGGATGATCCCATGCTTTTTATTATGGCATCTGAACATCCATATTAAATATTGTGCAATTATTAGGTTCGAGCGTGCAGTCTTAGAAATTCATAAATACAGGTAGTTCTTTAGCAGTTACACAATTTTTTCTTGAGTGAAAAAAAAATGGTGTAATTAGTTCTGAGAAATGAATAACATAAATGGCAAATACAACTTAAACAGTACTATGCTGAATTGTTTCTGACAAACTGATTAATTACTGTACTCTACAATAAAATCTATAGTCAAATGTGTTTCCCTGGATGTTGACTTTGTAATTTGACAGGTATGTTAAGTATGGGAAGTGATTTAAAGGTAAGGTATGCCAGCATTATTCTTAATTAGACCAATATAAAAGACGTACAAGGTAGGTGAAGTTTACAACAACAAAATATTTTCATGTAATTTGGCAAAAAGTAAAATGTTGTAACATATATGCCTTGCAATAATTAATCAGTTTGTTCAACTTGATTTGCATGTGACTTAATTTGCATGTAAATTAATTTGTGAGACTTGGATGTTTTGTTTTTTTTTTCTAAATTTTTTAATATATACACTGTGTATGTAAGTCATGATAACCTATGCACATTTTCCTAAGGACTCACATGTACCTCAGTGTAAATTAATGCATATGACTATGCAGGTGAAAGTTACATAAGCTGTCCATGTTGAAAACTAAAATTGTAAAAACAATTAAGTGAGCTTCTAAAACAATTCCTGTGAAAGTAAATTATTTTGATCCAGTATCCCTACATGATCCACCCTTTTTTATTGGATAGTTACACATTGCACCTTATGGCACAAATGAGTCTTTTATTACCATCATTTTACCTGTACCTTTTTGAACCTGTGAGCTATCAAAACATACCAGCACAATACATACAGATTGCATAGGGCCTATTACAAAATTTGGCTGAGAAAGAATTCCTATCCATTGGCCCATAAATTCTTATTCCTACGTTTGTTGTCTTCATTACCAATTTGTTCCACTTGTAATTATAGTTTGCCACAATACATTTCATGAGCTTTCTTAAAAGAGATAGTGATATACATACTGTTTATGTCATAACGGATAGATTTGTTAGTTTACTTTTACAAGTCATATCATATAATTATAAATTGATCATAACATGATGATTACCTTTGGGATTCTGGATTCTTACCTGGTCAAAATAAACAGCAAATTAGGCTCAATCCTTCTACTCAGACACAGATTAATTGCCTAAATCCTACAAAAAATATATAACTCTTAGCGTTTCCAGCTAGATGTATTGAATATTTAAGTTAAGTTCATATAGGCTATGTTGTTGTTTACGGTGTGTGCACTCTAGCATGGTTATGAAAAAGCTACTCAAGCTTTTTGTTTGCTAACTTTTGTCTGAACTGTTTGCTTTGCTCTTTTGTTTTGGAAAAGACCCTGATTTTTACTGAAAAGAGGTTAAACACAAAAGTTAATGTTACCTTTAGAAATGAGCAAATAAAGACATCAAAGAACTGATAAAATATCAAACCTATCAAACCAGTTCTAGGAAGGAAAAAAAATAAAATCTCTCTGCCAAAAATAACTTGAAATTTTCATAAGGTTTCTTAGGAACTGAAATTACTGTCATGACAATTCTAGGACTTTCTGGAAAACTATAGAAAAGTGAGAATTTAAAGGTATTTGATATCTGGTCTGGTATTACAACATGTACTGTAAATGAAACAAATTTAGGGAATATATTTTTTTACAAACATGCTATTGGTACGTGTAGATCCTGAAATGGTCCAAGTTTCATACAAAATATCATTTGTTACTCACTCTTTTTTAATTGTCAGACACTTCCTTTACTGCAGATAAGACAACATTTTGGACAATGATAGGAAAATTATTTTCAAAAATTAATAGGAATTTGACAAGGCGATTTAAGACTAGACATTTGAGACTTTGCTATTGATGGCAACAATCACCGAACAAGGGGAGTGAGGGTTTGATTAACCATTTTAAATTCATTGATTCGGAATAAGTTGGCAGTTTCTTTTAGGAAAAAAGTTGTCTTACTCAGCAGCATGAAACATGGAAGCGAGTGATATGAGATGATATGAGAAAATTTGAGATGGTCTGCATAGGAGCATTAAAGGAGTAAAGAGTGAAGGCAGAAATTGTAAATCATTCTCACCTTATCTGTTTCTATTTATTCCTTGTATAGCACAATCCATTTTTACATTTCAATGCAATGCACAATTATAATAGAAAAAAATTAAGAATAACAGCACTAAAATAGAGACTTACTTAAAAAGTAAATATAATATATAAATTCTTATAAATCAAAGCTTTAAAATACAGACTTACTTTAAAAGTTTAAAAACATTAATCATAAAAACTTTTTTAAATATGAGTTTTAAGAGAGACATTAAAACTGTCATAGTTAATTCAGATCTTATATAAAAAGGCAGCCCTGTCTCCATTAAATTTGTTACATTACACACTCTTTCTACGTAATTCAAGCAGCTTTAGCTTGGAAGTGTTAAGTTGTTATAAAAGAATTCCTTGTTTGCCTTTTTGGTTCATACATTATTGTTTAATAAGTTCTGCAATGGAGCTCGGTGCATTTTCTAGAATCTAGCAACAGTTATTTCTCAAGCTATTGAGTACAAATTCTATATTTTCATTCCCCAGTCACAATTTTTGTTCACAGTTGGATCAGGTTTGGTTGGAATGGTATTTGATATGCCTTGCCAGAATGAATAAAACACCTGGATTACAAAAGGTAATGAGAAAACTTCTGGCAGTCGTCCGATATCTGTGTTATCTCAAATGCACAAATTGAGTCAGTCACCTGTAAACTCCCTGTTGTACTATATTACTGGTATTCCATGTCTGTTGGAGTTGTGGTTGTAACCCTAGCAGGATATTCTGACAATGGTGAATTGAATGGTAAAATGAAGACAGTATACACTGGTTTCTTCCTGTAACCAGTTTTGCCCTTTTAAATTGTTTTTATATTTCAGTTATTATTATTTTTATAATTATTAGTTAGTATACTTATTACAACTTCAGGAGGCTTCAACCCTCTCTGCAGTTTTGTTATTTACAGAAATATACACACAAAGTGTGGTTAGTAATTGTAAGCAATTTACACTTTTGAAGAATATTAAAACTATTTCCTTTACAAGCGNTCATTTAAGAATATGAATAATTGGTTCTTTAAATTAGTTCTTAGTCCTTTAAAATTGTAATGTGTTCTTATATTAGTATTGTGTTATTTAGCTCTTTTAAGTGAATGTTGTAAGGCGCATTGAGATTTTTAATGGAATGCGCCATAGAAAAATAAATTATTATTATTATTATTATTAACTTTTAGTTCTATGATGAATTGTTTCTGACAAACTGTTTGATTAATTATTGTACTCTACAACAAAATCTATAGTCAAATGTGTTTCCCTGGATGTTGACTTTGTAATTTGACAGGTATGTTAAGTATGGAAAGTGATTTAAAGGTAAGGTATGCCAGCATTATTCTTAATTAGACCAATATAAAAGGCATACAAGGTAGGTGAAGTTTACAACAAAATATATTCATGTAATTTGGCAATAAGTAAAATGTTGTAACATATATGCCTTGCAATAATTAATCAGTTTGTTCAACTTGATTTGCATGTGACTTAATTTGCATGTAAATTAATTTGTGAGACTTGGATGGTTTTTTTCTAAATTTTTTAATATATACACTGTGTATGTAAGTCATGATAACCTATGCATATTTTCCTAAGGACTCACATGTACCTCAGTGTAAATTAATGCATATGACTATGCAGGTGAAAGTTACATAAGCTGTCCATGTTGAAAACTAAAATTGTAAAAACAATTAAGTGAGCTTCTAAAACAATTTCTGTGAAAGTAAATTATTTTGATCCAGTATCCCTACATGATCCACCCTCTTTTATTGGATGGTTACACATTGCACCTTATGGCACAAATGAGTCTTTTATTACCATCATTTTACCTGTACCTTTTTGAACCTGTAAGCTATCAAAACATTCCATCACAATACATACAGATTCCATAGGGCTTATTACAAAATTTGGCTGAAAAAAAATTCCTATCCATTGGCCCATTCTTATTAATATGTTTATTGTCTTCATTACCAAATTGTTCTACTTTTATTTATAGTTTGCCACAAAACATGAGCTTTCTTAAAAGAGATAATGAGATACATACTGTTTATGTCATAATGGATAGATTTGTTAGTTTACTTCTACAAGTCATATCACATAATTATAAATTGATCATAACATGATGGTTACCTTTGGGATTCTGGATTCTTACCTGGTCAAAATAAACAGCAAATTAGGCTCAATCCTTCTACTCAGACACAGATTAATTGCCTAAATCCTACAGAAAATATACGACTCTTGGCATTTGCAGCTAGATGTATTGAATATTTAAGTTAAGTTCATATAGGCTATGTTGTTGTTTACAGTGTGTGCACTCTAGCATGGTTATGAAAAAGCTACTCAAGCTTTTTGTTTGCTAACTTTTGTCTGAACTGTTTGCTTTGCTCTTTTGTTTTGGCAAAAGACCCTGATTTTTACTGAAAAGAGGTTAAACACAAAAGTTAATGTTACCTTTAGAAATGAGCAAATAAAGACGTCAAACAACTGATAAAATATCAAACCTATCAAACCAGTTCTAGGAAGGAAAAAAAATAAAATCTCTCTGCCAAAAATAACTTGTAATTTTCCTAAAGTTTCTTAGGAACTGAAATTACTGTCATGACAATTCTTGGATTTCTGGAAAACTATAGAAAAGTGAGAATTTAAAGGTATTTGATATCTGGTCTGGTATTACAACATGTACTGTAAATGAAACAAATTTAGGGAATATATTTTTTTACAAACATGCTATTGGTACGTGTAGATCCTGAAATGGTCCAAGTTTCATACAAAATATCATTTGTTACTCACTCTTTTTTAATTGTCAGACACTTCCTTTACTGCAGATAAGACAACATTTTGGACAATGATAGGAAAATTATTTTCAAAAATTAATAGGAATTTGACAAGGCGAATTAAGACTAGACATTTGAGACTTTGCTATTGATGGCAACAATCACCAAACAAGGGGAGTGAGGGTTTGATTAACCATTTTAAATTCATTGATTCAGAATAAGTTGGCAGTTTCTTTTAGGAAAAAAAGTTGTCTTACTCAGCAACATGAAACATGGAAGGGAGTGATATGAGATGTTATGAGAAAATTTGAGATGGCCTGCATAGGAGCATTAAAGGAGTAAAGAATGAAGGCAGAAATTGTAAATCATTCTCCCCTTATCTGTTTCTATTTATTCCTTGTATAGCACAATCCATTTTTACATTTCAATGCAATGCACAATTATAATATAAAAAATTAAGAATAACAGCACTAAAATAGAGACTTACTTTAAAAGTAAATATTATATAAAAATTCTTATAAATCAAAGCATTAAAATACAGACTTACTTTAAAAGTTTAAAAACATTAATCATAAAAACTTTTTAAAATATGAGTTTTAAGAGAGACTTTAAAATTGTCATAGTTAATTCAGATCTTATATAAAAAGGCAGCCCTGTCTCCATTAAATTTGTTACATTACACACTCAAAGGCAGCCCTGTCTCCATTAAATTTGTTACATTACACTCTCTCTCTACGTAATTCAAGCAGCTTTAGCTTGGAAGTGTTAAGTTGTTATAAAATAATTCCTTGTTTGCCTTTTTGGTTCATACATTATTGTATGGAGCTCAGTGCATTTTCTAGAATCTAGCAACAGTTATTTCTCTAGCTATTGAGTACAAATTCTATATTTTCATTCCCCAGTCACAATTTTTGTTCACAGTTGGGTCAGGTTCGGTTGGGATGGTATTTGATATGCCTTGCCAGAATGAATAAAACACCTGGATTACAAAAGGTAATGAGAAAACTTCTGGCAGTCGTCCGATATCTGTGTTATCTCAAATGCACAAATTGAGTCAGTCACCTGTAAACTCCCTGTTGTACAATATTACTGGTATTCCATGTCTGTTGGAGTTGTGGTTGTAACCCTAGCAGGATATTCTGACAATGGTGAATTGAATGGTAAAATGAAGACAGTATACACCTGTTTCTTCCTGTAACCAGTTTTGCCCTTTTAAATTGTTTTTAAAGTTTAGTTATTATTATTTTTATAAATATTAGTTAGTATACTTATTATAACTTCAGGAGGCTTCAACCCTCTCTGCAGTTTTGTTATTTACAGAAACATACACATAAAGTGTGGTTAGTAATTGTAAGTAATTAACGCTTCTGAAAAATATTAAAACTATTTCCTTTACAAGCAGTCCAAATTTTTGTTTTCTATACTTAGAGAGATAGCAACTGTTCATTTTGGCCAAAAATTGTATTTTCCAGGGGTAAACAACAACTTTCCCATATTAACCAATGGTTACTAAATCTGTTCCAACTTTACTGGTTACTAAATATGTTCCAAAGTTAGTTGCTGTTTTTTTTTTTTTTTTTGGCAATAATTGTAATAAATTATTAGGAAGGTATAGCCATCTAAGAAGGTCCACAGATTCCATAATTATTGCAATAACTGCTGTTTTGGTGGTAAAATGGAATTTATTATATTTCTATGAGTTGTTTGCAATGCATTTATTATGCTATAAGAATCTAACACGAACAGTTGTTGTCCCTTTAAGCCAAAGCCAAAGCAACAGAATCCAGGCCTCCTTTTTTTTCTTCATCCTTGGACCTATAAGTCCTTAGTTCTACATTGGGAGTCTCAGTCTTCTCTGAAAATGAAAAAAATATATATATCAGGTGACACAGCCAAGTCTGTTTACGTGATACTTGCACTGTCTACACAGTGCTAAGATGGTAAGTCTGCTCCCCCCTCTCTTTCCAAATAAATGTATTCACCTAAAACTCTATATAAGCATTCATTTAGGCTTCGTTCACATGGAAAGTCCATTTTCTAAAAATCTATTTTCTATTCGCGGTATATCTTGTGATCACAGTCTGTGCCCTGAATATCCCGCGGTGTAATTACTGGCAGAGCGAGCCAATAACTTCCAAAGCTGTAATTAATTCTCAGCTGTGCTCGGAGGAGATTCTGATACCTTGACGCATGCGCAGTAGGAAGTTAAAATTAATGGCGGTCGCGGTTGCTTTGAAAAATGTGTTTGTGGATTTTGTGCAACAACAACAAGAAGAAGATGAAGAAGCTATACACACGACAGATACGAGTGCGACCGACATGATTCAATGGCAAGTGATGCGGCAACAGAGGATGAGATTCTATAGAATGCGAGCACAGCCGAGAATTAATTACAGCTTTGTATAAGTAACTGGCTCACACTGCCAGTAATTACGTGGGATATTCAGGGCACAGACCGTGATCATAAGATACCGCGAATAGAAAATAGATTTTTAGAAAATAGACTTTCCATGTGAACGAAGCCTTACTGTATATATATTTGGAAATCAACTGCATTTAATATAAAAATGTCTATTGGAAATCTTTTATAGGTCAGTCACAGCTAAAACAGATGAACTTAATTCCATGAATAAATCTATACTTAGAAATAAAGTAGTTCATTCACACAAAATATGATTTTTTTATCACAGAATCTGACAAGGAAACACAAACCTTTTCTACAGGCTTTTATACTCTCAAAGTACTGTACAGGCTGGACCAAATAATGTACATCTTCAATGCTGTCACCATCTACAGAACATCCTCTCACCAACAATGAATTGGAGGCAAAAAGAGCAAGTGTCACACAAAACCCCATGATGTGTGAGATCCATGCACTCAACTCTAATCTATCTGGCAAAAAATAAGCATCAAGGATATACCACACCCCATGCCAAACAGAGACACAGCCCACAATTCCAGCTGCAGTGAAGATATCCTCAATAGCAATCTTGAATACTTTTGGATAGTTCAGAAGTTTTTGTGATATTAAATGTACTGGATGCTGAAATAACATGGCCAAAAAAGTCAATCCATAGCCTAGGCACAAGGAAGAGATGTGAGATAAGAAGTAGACATCTTTTGCTATTACTGTCTCCCAGCCAAAATCAAGAAGTAGCCATGTTCCTCTCCAAATGCAAACAACTAACCCATCAATGATGACAACGGAAAAGACCGCATCATAGATGAAGTTACCCAAGTCTTTAGGCTGCAACACATAATCAAACAGTTAATTTAACAATATTTTTTAAAAAAGTATTGGACTTCAAATGGTGCTTTTAAAATTTACATATACTTTTAAAATATTTTGACAAATAATTATGATGAAAAAGGCCAAACTACTTATGCTCTAAAAGTTACAAGTAGAATTATTTATGAAAGAATTTGTATTTTCCACTTTGCTTTTCTTTCCAATATAAATTCATCAACTAATCAATATGTGCAACAAGGCAGCAAAGCTGTCAAATGTACAGACAAAAACCAGAAAATAAAAACGCAGGAAATAGGATACTGTCAATTCTGATGAACTAATGTATTATGCTTACTGTAACTGCATAGCCAACATCAAATTCTTATTCTGCATAACATTGGATTAGGATGAAAGTAAAATGTGTATCAAGCATTAGACTAAGTTCCCATACCTAGATCAATCTAACAGGATCAATGCAACTCCAAGGGGTTTCTCACTAAATTGCTTTCAGTTTGAGAGTCTTAGGATTCTGGCATGCCAGTTTCAGTAGGCGTGACAGACAACTAAGCCACTTACATTGATTGCAATTTAGCGAGAATTCCCATGGAGATAGATCGATCCACAGTTAGCGTGATAGGGTCTGGAAATAGTCCCTAAGGTGTCAGGCTGATAAGAGTTAAACTTTGGAAATGCCAGAATGAGGTACAGTGAAAATTACACACAAAAAAAAA